TGCTGTTTTGATTATTATAGCTTTGAAATATAGTTTGAAAAGAGGGAGTATTATACCTCCAGCTTTGTTCTTTTTTCTCAGGATTGCTTTGGCTATTCAGGGTCTTTTGTGCATCCATATAAATTTTAGAATTTTTTGTTCTATTTCTATGAAAAATGTCCTTGGGCTTTTGATAGGGCTTGCATTGAATCTGTAGATTGCTTTATGTAATAAGGACATTTTATTTAATTTATTTATTTATTTATTTATTTATTTTTGCGGTACGCGGGCCTCTCACTGTTGTGGCCTCTCCCATTGTGGAGCACAGGCTCCGGACGCGCAGGCTCAGCAGCCATGGCTCATGGACCTAGCCACTCCGCGGCATGTGGGATTTTCCCGGACCAGGGCACAAACCTGTGTCCCCTGCATTGGCAGGCGGACTCTCAATCACTGTGCCCCAGGAAATCCCCTTCTTTGAATATTTGATAGAATTTAGCTGTGAAGTTGTCTGGTCCTGGACTTTTTGTTTTTTGGGAGCTTTTTGATTACTGTTTCCATCTCTGTACTAGTGATTGGTCTATTCAGATTTTCTATTTCTTCATGATTCAGTCTTGGAAGTTTGTATGATTCTAAAAATTTGTCTATTTCTTTTAGGTGTCCTATTTGTTAGTGTATAGCTATTCATAATATTCTGTTATAATCCTTTGTATTTCTGTGGTGTCCATTGTTATTTCTCCTCTTTCGTTCCTGATTTGATTCATCAGAGCCTTCTCTTTCTTTTTCTTAGTGAGTCTAGCTAACGGTTTGTCAATTTTGTTTGTCTTTTCAAAGAACCAGCTCCTAGTTTCATTGATCTTTTCTATTATCTTTTTAGTTTTTATTTCATTTATTTCTTCTCTGCTCTTTATTACTTCCTTCCGTCTATGGCCATACCACCCTGAATGTGCCCAATCTTGTCTCTGTTACTTCCTTCCTTCTACTAACTCTGGGCTTTGTTTTTCTTTTTCTAGCTCCTTTAGGTGTAAGGTTAGATTGCTGAGATTTTTCTTGTTTCTTGAGGTAGGTCTGTATCGCTATAAATTTCCCTCTTAGTACTACTTTTGCTGTATCCTGTAGATCTTGGTATGTTGTATTTTCATTTTTATTTGTCTTCAGGTAATTTTTGATTTCTCCTTTGATTTCTTCATTGATCTAATAGTAATATTTCAGTAGTATGTTGTTCAGTCTATACATATTTGTGATTTTTCCAGTTTTATTCTTGTAGTTGATTTGTAGTTTCATTCTATTGTGGTTGGAAAAGATGCTTGATTTTTATTTATTTATTTATTTATTTATTTATTTTTGGCTGTGTTGGGTCTTCGTTTCTGTGTGAGGGCTTTCTCTAATTGTGGCGAGCGGGGACCACTCTTCATCGCGGTGCACGGGCCTCTCACTGTCGCAGCCTCTCTTGTTGCGGAGCACAGGGTCCAGACGCGCAGGCTCAGTAGTTGTGGCTCACGGGCCTAGTTGCTTTGTGGCATGTGGGATCTTCCCAGACCAGGGCTCGAACCTGTGCGCCCTGCATTGGCAGGCGGATTCTCAACTGCTGTGCCACCAGGGAAGCCGAAGATGCTTGATTTGTCTTCTTAAATTTATTGAGACTTGTTTTGTGTCCCAACATATGTTCTATCCTTGAGAAAATTCCATGTGTACTTGAGAAGAATGTGTATTCTGCTACATTGAGATGGAGTGTTCTGTACAATTCTATCAAATCCATCTAGTCTAATGTTTTATTTAAGGCCGCTAATAGTAGGGGTGTTAAAGCCCCCTACTATTATAGTGTTGCTGTCAATTTCTCCCTTTAGGTCTGTTAATTGTTTCATATATTTTGGTACTTATATGTTAGGTACATACATGTTAACCACTGTTATATCTTCTCGATGAATTGTCCACTTTATGGTTAGATACTGTCCATTTTTGTCTCCTGTTAACCTTTTTGGCTTGAAGTCTATTTTGTCTGATATGAGCATGGATACCTCTGGTTTCTTTTGGCTCTGTTTGCATCGACTATCTTCCATTCCTTTACTTTTAGCCTGTATTTCTCTTTAGAGCTAAGTGGTGTCTCCTGGAGGCAGCATATAGTTGGGTCTTGTTTTTTAACCCATCTAGCCACTCTCTGTCTTTCAATTGGTGAATTCAATCCATTTACATTTAGTGTGATTATTGATAGATGAGGATTTAGTCCTGCCACTTTATCTTTTGTGTTCTGGTTGCTCTATATTTCTATTGTTTTTCCCTGTGTTTCTGTTTGCCATTTTGTGTTGGTGATTCTCTATGATACCTTTCTCAATTTCCTCTTCTTTTTGTTCTGTATCTCTGCTCTATGTTTATGTTTTGTGGTTACCCTGAGGTTTTTATTAAAGCTCTCCTAGAGAAAATAGTCCTTTTCCTGCCGATAGCATCTCACCTTCTTTTACCTGTATAAATTCTGTCCTTTTCCTCTTCCCTTTTTATGTTTTTGTTGTCTCAAATTATCCTTTTTCATGTTGTGAGTTTGTTACCAAACTGAGATAGGGATAGTTATTTTTCTGCTTTCTTTAAAACCTATTCTGATAAACAGTTGCAATTCTCTGGTTCTGTCTATTTATCACCTTGCTCAAAGTTTTGTGTATTTTTGCTGTTTTGTTTCTAGTAAAAGAGCTTCTTTTAACATCTTTTATAAGGCAGGTTCATCTGGTGTTGATGAACTTCCTCATTGTTTGTTTGTCTGGGAAAGTATTTCTCCTTTATATCTGAATGGCAGCTTTGCTGGATAGAGTATTCTTGGGTGACAATTTTTGTCTTTCAATATTTTGAGAATGTCATTCCACTCCCTATTGGCATGTAGGGTTTCTGCTGAGAGATCTACTGATAGCCTAATGGTAGATCCTTTGTAGTTACTATCCTTTTTTCCATGGCTGTCTTTAAAATTCTGTCTTTGTCATTGACTTTCAACAGTTTTAATATTATGTCTTGGAGAAGGTCTTTTGCATTGAGGTGGTTAGGTGTTCTCTGAGCTTCATGGACTTGTATGTCCAGTTCCTTCTCCAGGTTTGGGAAGTTCTCTGCTGTTCCTTCTTTAAATAATCTCTCTGCTCCCTTCTCCCTCTCTTCTTTTAAGATACCCATTATCCTAATGTTGCCCTTCCTAAAAGAATCACAGAGCTCTTGTAGAATTTTCTCATTTTTAAAATATCTTATTTCTCTTTCCTTTTCTACTTGCATCATCTCTAGATTTCTACCATTGAGCTCACTAATACTCTCTTCCATATGCTGTGCTCTATTTCCAGTGTCTTCTAATGCATTCTTCATGTTGTTTATTGAGTTCTTCAGCTCCAGAATTTCTGTTTGGTCTTTTAGAGTTTCAGTCTTCTTGGTAAAGTATTCCTTCTGCTCATTAATTTTATTTCTGAGCTCATTAAACTGCCTCTCTGAGTTTTCTTGTATCTCGTTCAGTTTCTTCATGATAGCTACTTTGAATTCTCTATCAGTTAGATTGAAGTATTCTGTGACTTTTAAGTTTGGTTTCTGGAGATTTGTCATTTTCTTTTTGTCGTATAGTATTACTGTGGTTCTTCATGGTGCTTGATGAAATGTTCCTCTGCTTGCGCATTTGAAGTTAAATGACAGGTTAGAAGTGAGAGTGCTTTCTTTTGTTTTTTGGTAGGTGGTGCTGTAACACAAGTTTCTGGTTTCTCTTATCTGTGCTACCTCCAGTTATTTTTGAGAATTGGCACTTTCCAGCCCCCACTGTCTTTGTAAGAGGTGTGGCTCCATGCCTTCTTTGTCACTTCTTGTGCCTCTGGGGTAGTTGCTGCTTTGCTTCTGCCAGAGCTGCTATGTCCTGAGGATGGTAGACTCTTCCCTTGTGTCTGGGATCCCCTCAGACACAGGCTCTGCTGTGGGAAGAGGAGGATAATTGGAGGGGAGCAGGGTTGTGCAGGCTCCTCCACCATGTTGAGTGTCATAAGGGTTCTGCTACTGTGGATGGGGGGCCAGGGCTGTGGGAGGGACAGGGTCCCAGGCCCCACTGCCACTGCTTCCCAGTTACCTGTGGCCATGGGCGCTCCCACAGTTGGGAGACCAAAGTCATGTGTGCTGGTTCTCCTGCTGCTACTGGGTTTTCTGAAGCTGTGGGCTCATCCGTCTCTGTCATAGGGCTGGGATTGCAGGCACTGACTTCACTGTTCCCTTGGTTCCGCCTCCTCCATGTGTTCCAGTCCACCCACCTTTAGATGTACAGATGTGTGGAATTCTCCAGTGTCCTGTTGAGTTGGGCAGAGGTATACCTTTGTTGAGTTGTGGATGTTTTGCTGGCTGTAGATTGAAGGGGAGAGACAGAGGTAGCCATGTTTCTGACAGCACTCCCATGAGGTATATTCTTTTGAAAGATGAAGACCCCACACCTCATCCATCCCCTCCCTCCCTGCCACCAGGACCCACTCTCCACTAACTCTGACTTTCTTCAGTGGTAATACTTGGGAAATAGAAATACATGGATGTGACACAGATCAAAGATGTTAAGAACGTGTTATAATGATCTCATAAACCAGACTTTAGTAGTATGAAATAGTCCTTAATTGGTTGCACTGAATTAGAGCATACCATTTAAGCCCTCTTGTCTTTATGTAAAGTTAATAAAAGATGAGTAGCAGCAAAGAACTAGGTTGTTCTTTCATTTTGATATTACTGGTATTGACATTTACTATAAGTACAATTATTTTTTTCACATTATTTAGGTGAGTTTTAAATCTTTTTAACCTCATTATCTTTTGACCTAGAAAAAGTATTTTTCTATTGTAGGAAACTGAAACCAGTATGTTACATAGTATAAACAAGGTTTTGAGCCTTGGTTGGCGCTAGGGCAAAGAACCGCTAGTTCACAGAGTTTTATATAGGGCTAATTCAACCTTCCTCCGATGCCTTAAAAATGTTTTTTCTTTCAGCAAAGTAATAAAATATTTCATTTTCATTAAAATACTTTTTACGTTTTTCTTTTCCAGAGAGTAATGCCTTCTAGCTTTTTCTTGCTGTTGCGGTTTTTCTTGAGAATTGATGGGGTGCTTATTAGGATGAATGACACAAGACTTTACCATGAGGTATCTATTCTCATTTAATGAAAGTACTAATTGACATTGGGCTTGTTCATGTTGTTACATTGTCAGTCTGACAGTTTGAACTTCAGTAGTGCTTTATATCATATGGCTATTTGTCTAACCTTTAAGATTGGGTGTGTCATATTCACTGTTGACTGCACAGTTATTGAAACATTAAATCTTCTTTTCCAAAAGTTCTACGAGTTGAACATGTTTTCCAGAAGACACTCCCTGATAAAGGGGAGTCTGATGCTTTTTAAAAACCTCTTAAACTTAATCTCTTTAAGAAAACTGTCCCTTAACTCTTACTTTTTTTGTAGTATGTGTTGTTTATGTAATGTTCTGATATTAGAAATACCAATCTCATGGCCTCCAGAAATTTGTATTATACAATTATTTTGATAGTTGTTTTAATATTTGAAAGCTCTGTGCTCCATTTCAAGGAACTGTTAACATGCGAAGTTTTTTAAAAAAATAAGTGAAGAAAGTAGTGGGGAGGCTTAAATTGAGTCATGAAAATTCTTCTTGTAGCTTTATAGCAGCCTATCCTTTTTGAATGAATTTTTAACGTCATATTTGTGATCACATAGAATGACGAATGAGAGAAGAAACCAGCAGTATCAGTCAGGGTAATCATAGTAATAGTTAACTCTCCTAACAACCCTATGAAATAGATGCTATTATTATCTCTGTTTTACAGCTGAGGCAACTAAGGCAAAGAGAGATTAAGTAACTTGCCCAAGTTATACAGTTAATAGGTGGTAGAACTGGAATTTAAGCCCAGTAAGATGTGATTGGATTGGTATTTTCCTAAATCCTGCACTTTCTTTTTCTTTTGAAATAACATGGTCACTGTGATGGATCTTTTTCTTTTTAAAAGTGATAGTAAAGTACTAAAAATAAGCTATACTTCACTCCCTCAGAAAAAATGAAATCTAAATTTTTAGAAATGCTTATACTTTAACTCAACAATATTGATTTTTTTTCCAGAATTTATCCTCAAAAGATTCTTACATACAGTAACCCACAAATATTAATCAGGCAGCTGTATAGAGTTGTATATATATAAATATTCATGGCAATGCTATTGTTTATAATAGCTAAAAGGAAAGAAGGAAGGCACTATAATGCCCATTGAATGAGCATTGATTAAATGGCCATTTATATCCTGTTGGCCTACAACAAATAGACTGCCAGATATTTCTCCAGCAAAGTTGGAATTAATCGGGATCAGCAGAAAATTGCAGTTCAGGTCTGTAACCATGGTGAGCCATGTGCAAGTCCCCACACGGCAAGGGAAGGAGAATGCTTTTATAGAGAGGAAAAGGAAAATGGGAGTGCTACAGTAAACAGAGAATCCATGACTTTCCATTGGTTGAGTCCTTGCCAGGAAATAAGAGGAGTCTTTTTTTCTGTTGGGCTCTGCTATGGTTGCTGGGTATGAGAGCTCCCCATTCTAGTCTCCCAAATCTATTTAATTGACGTTTCTGTTTATTAAATTTTTACAGTCCATATAGTAGAAAAATATGCAACCATTAAAATTAATGGCAGAAAGTTGTTTAACTGATTTGGAAAGATGTGCATATTAATGTTGACTTTTAAGATGCAAGTATGAATCTATATAAGACTTTATGTAGAGATTTCTAAATGTTAAGGATAGTGTTATCTGTAGAGATTGTGATTGCTGATGATTTATACTCTATATGTTTATAGTATTTGATTTTTTTTAACGATGAGCATTAATCTGTTTTGTTGATATAAAAGACTGAAACTTTAAGGGAGCATAATCTTGTGATTTTTCTTTTATTAAATAATGTTTTACCAAAAAAACCCAAATTGTAATAAATTGCTTTCTAAAACCTCACTTTAAAAAGTCTTAAATGGGAAAATTGAAGTACAAAAAAGTGGCTGTAAATAAACAATTTGATAAGAATTTATTAGAAATGGGAAAGAATAAAACTTGTTTAAACTTTTTTGGGGGGAACATAAAAGTAGCCACAGTTATGTAGGTAGATGGTAATATAGCTTAAGGAAAAGATGTAGTTCCAAACTTGAAGTAATATTAAAATCTCTTCCACATCTCATTTACAAACATACACATTTTCTTTCAAAGTAAAACCTTTGCTTGTGTTTTTCTTACATGATAATTATTAAATCTGTTTACATATGTGTATCAGATATTAATGTGATTTATAGAGATTGGAATTAATAATTCAGAATTCTTGAATTAGTTATCTCACTGTAGAATTAGATGTTCTTATCAGACTTAATGGTACTTTCACAACCTGTTCTCAAATGTGGGCAGTTCTGTTTAATTGAAAGGATTTTGTTAATCAATATAAATAAATTTATTGCAGTTTTTTTGATTTTTAAACATAGGCTGACAAGACCTACATGTTACGAGAATATACATCACGAGAGAGCAAAATTGCTAATTTAATGGTACAGTATTTAAATATCAGTTTTTAGAAGTTAAATTTTAATGTTCTATTTTAAGTATGGTATTCCTCCATGCCCCACCCATCCACCAAATCTACATCCCTAAATCCATTCATTTACCTAATAGGGCTCTATAGGAGAAATCCTATTGGAGCGTATTTTCCCTGGAACTTATCTCAATTACAGTTAGAGTTGTTAGGTACCTTAACCATCATCCAATCCAATTTCCACATTTTATTTTGGAAAAACTGAGACCCAGAGGTGTGACTCCAAGTCGCACAGCTAGTTGGTGGTGGAGCTGCAATAGGATGTTCTTTCCATGACTTACTTTTGGGGGCATAATCTCCCCTGCTTTTTTTTTGCTCCCCTGGGACTTGTAAAGCGTTTCTACAAGTCTATAGCATTCAATAATGGGTTGTTTAAAAAGTGATACCTTCCTGCTAACTTGATATTTTATAATAAACACTCTTAGTGTTTATTTCTGTCTATATATAGAATATACATAGGTTAGAAAAGTTATATAGAGTCTCTTGTAGACCACATATTGGCATCTAACTGAAGGCTAGTGCTTTCAAGGTACAAAAATAACAGGAAAAAGGGATTAGATTAAGATGTATTAAATTCTTAGAACATTTATGGAAGCATTATAAATGATATATCCCTATGATCTTTGAGGAAACCATCTAGTAACAGAGCTGAGTCAGTAGCAAGAGATACCTGATATTATTAGGAACCCCTGATGATGCTCCATATATATATATATGGCATCTCATTTTAAAATTGGCATGCTTTAGGAATGCTTGAATGAAAGCATTTTCAAAACTATCAGTGCAGTAACTTAATATATGCTAATATGATTTATGTATTTCCTAGCATGTTTCACCTTCCCTCTTCACGGAACCTAATGAAATATCACAGTATTTGCCGATAAAGGAGGCAGTTTGTGAGAAGCTAATATTTCCAGAAAGAATTGATCCTAACTCTGCAGACTCAAAAGAATGTACACCTGTGGAATAGAATTTATTACAGCATATACTGACCGTGGAATCTGACTGGAGACCTTGGGGCTATTTGGAGGGGGTATTTTTATTATGAGAATTAATTGCCTTGTCTATGTGCAGATTTTCTGTAGCCTTAAAGGAAAAATAAATAAATAAAAGAGTGTCGCAGGCAGTTTCCACTCAACTGCTGTTGTACTCTCTGTCTTTAAATTCATATTCCAGAAATTTATATCTTCTGGAGTTAAATTCAGATTTCTAAATTGTCACAGAGTGGGGTCTCACCAGTAGGGGGTGATGTGTGTATCTCTCAGAAGCAGTGGCCATAACCTGTATCTATCATGAAACACTATCTTCTACCACGAGGAAGTTACTTTAAATCAGTGAATCGTAACACCTTGTGACTTTCATACGATTACTAGTTGTTCACGTTGATGTAGTGGCTCTTTACCTTGGGTTTTTTGATGTTTATTCACACTTCTGGAGTGTCATGACTTGCCTCCTAGGAAATTGATCTCAAATGATCTGTACCCAGAAATTAAAAAAAAAATTACCCTCCTAAATTTTAATTGGCTTTTGAAGTTTAAAGAAAGTTTCAGACATAGAAACAAATAAACTAGGTTTTTGGAGAACTTAAGGTGTTATGTCCATGGAAACACACAATCATGGTTTGCCACTGACAGGATGTCAGAGCTGTCTCTCCTCCATCTTTAGGTGCTTTTTCTTATGTGTGGTTCTATTTGTACTGACGTTTTTTACTTCCACCTTCCATGCACCCTCAGAGTGAATAAATCTTTCGGATATTGAATTTGATATAGGTCCTAAAAAGTTTGAAGTGTTAATATGGATTGTTTTAAGCAAAAATTACATCAGCCTCTAAAGCAACCAGATTGATTTTCTGCTTAAAATATTTGAAGGGTAGCTGTGGAGGAGGAAGGGGCTTATTTTAAAATCTAAAAGCCAGTTTTTCCTTTTTTAAATTCATGTTTTTGGGAATTCCCTGGCAGTCCAATGGTTAGGACTCCACGCTTTCACTGCCAAGGGCCTGGGTTCAATCCCTGGTCAAGGACCTAAGATCCAGCAAGCCGTGCAGCATGGCCAAAAAAAAAAAAGATTCATGTTTTTAACATTACAGGGGATCCAATAAAGTGTAATTAATTAGTACAAGATCTAGGTAGTACAGAAAGTTTACAAAAGTAAATTTGAAATCCATTTGGTTATTTTGATGGTGACCCTTTAAACATTTTATATTCTTTTCTGCCTTTTAAAATGGTCTCCATAAAGTAGCAAGTGGTTATAAAGCACCAAGTAAGAACTTACTTTAAATGGATTTAAAAAAATATTTTATTTAAAGGGCAGGGGAAAAGAATTACCCCCTCTTTTTCTGGTTTGAAACAGCTATTGTACATATTTCCACTTGATACATAAATCATTAAAGAAGAATATTTAATTGTAAGTATTAGCAAAACTCTTCAGGTATTAGCCTGAAGATCAATTTTAGTGAAACAAATACAGTTGGATATTCATCATTACTCAGACTCTGGTGTGTTGTTGTGTATATTGTTTTTTTAGCTAATTGTATTTGCTAAATTTGGTCACAAATGATTTGGGTATTTGTTTGCTTTCTGCTACATCACCTTCAAGGTATAGGAAATCAGGATTTTGTTGGCTTTAAGAAAATACATGGCATGTTCACTATATGTTAAGTATACCAGTACTTAATGTTTTCTCTTAGGACAGAAAAGTGTATATATTGTACTCTGCTTTCTGTTTATTTTATTTGCCATGCAGATTTGAACAGAACAAACTCTTTAGTCATACAAATTATAGAAAAATGAAAAACTGTAATAATATTTATTAGTTGAATTAGAGGTTTCTGGACAGCATCATATTCCACATATATTTTTAACTTGATTCAGATGTCTTAGTCCCTGAGTCAGTCTTAAATTACTTATTTTGAGAATCCATTGTTAAAAATTGTAGAATTGACTGTTTTATAGAAGAAGGTGGGAGGTGGATAGGATGAGTGTACTTTTGAAAACTTCGTTTATTCCTGTGGAGAATGCCAAGAAAACTTATATTTGCCCATTGCTAAACAAGACATATACCATTTTATATTTATTTGTTCCAAGTGTCTTTTTGTAAGAGGAGAATAAACAATAAGTAATTACCAATCTGTGTTTTGCTGTTTCATTTAATTTCGTTTTTCTTGAAGCTTAATTAAAAAATGGTTTGATATACCTTTCTTGTTTGTGCTTTATGTTTTGAACTTGGTCAACATTATAGCCAGATTCTCCAGACAGATTATAAATGAAAATCTAACACATAGTCCAGAATATAATCCTCTGGTTTAGCTATTGGGCTCTTGTTCTTCCTCTCCCTCTGTCCCCTAGTGTGGGTTGGCCAAAAAGTTCAGTTGGGTTTTTCCATAACATCTTATGGAAAAACCCAAATGAAATTTTTGGCCAACCCAATACTTCTGTGGATGTTTTAATTAGCCATTGTTTTCTCTATGATAGGTTAATGCTTTCTGTTTTTGAAAATATAAATACTTGTGGTATGTATTATTCCATTTAGTTTTAAGTACTGTCCAATATGGTGCTAGGTACAGGGGTTACAGTAATGAAGAGATTATTCAGTTGGCCCGCCGTATCCTCAGGTTCTGCATCTGCAGATTCAACCAATCATGGATTGAAATATTGAAAAAAAAAATTCCATGGGACTTCCCTGGTGGTCCAGTGGTTAAGACTCCGTGCTCCCAATGCAAGGGGCACAGGTTCAGTCCCTGGTAGGGGAACTAAGATCCTGCATGCCCCGCGGCGTGGCAAAAAAAAAAAAAAAAATCCAAAAAGCAAAACTTGAATTTGCGGTGTACCCGGCAGCTATTTACATAGCATTTACATTGTATTTACAACTATCTACATAGCCTTTACATTGTATTAAGTATTATAAGTAATTTAGAGATGATTTAAAGTATATGTGAGGATGTGTGTAGTTTATATGCAAATACACCATTTTATATAAGGGACTTGAGTATCCTCAGATTTGGGTGGGGGGAGGGGACTGGAGTCAATCTGTGGATACTGAGGGATGACTGTATTATACGTCTTCATGGAGTTAAAGTCTAATGGAGGAGACAAAGTAAAAATAATGACAAATTTTAGTAATTGCAATGACAGAAATAATACTGACTTTAAAGAGAATAACAAAATCACCTTTGGTAGAAGCAGTCAGAGTTCTACCTGGAAAGGCATGTAGAAAGCCTCAAGAGAATGTCACTCCTAACTTACCCAGGAGAAAAATCTGGGTAATCTATACAATTACAGTTTTTCTTGAAAATATCAGACAGCTGAGGTTGCAAAGCAACGTAAACTAAATTCCAAAGAGTGATAAGCCCTCCAACAAGAGGTGGAAACTACCAATCATTTCATCTTAGAGCATGAGAGAAACAGGTGGCCACTGTACTACAAGCAGGTAAGAAAATTAACGAAAATTTTAATAAATTCTGAAAGGCTTAGTATGGGCTAGTTTGTCAGTTTGGAAGAGCTGAGAGTCTCAAATAAGAGGACTTCATACACTCACATAGGTTCTTTCCCAGGGGTCTACCCCAGTGCTCACAAGAAACACTGGGGCAGGGCAGGGGACCAGAAAGTCCCTGTCAGTGGTTCCAGCATGCAGGAGGTAATTGGCTGCTGCTGAGGGATAGGTATGAAACCCTGCCCATTTATCCTAGACCCCTCTTTTGAAGGATGCAAAAGACTTAAGCTGCTGGGGGAAGAGCAACAAATCATATCACCCCCCAGGACCCCAGCAAAATCCTTTATTTCTGGGGCAGGAATAAAAGCAAAACCCATCTGCTTCTGGGAGGAGGAATAGGAAATGCTCTGCCTTCAGGCCACGAAGAACCATTACTGCTGGAGAAGGAGTATAAGCAAGTAACCTCTGACCTTGGAGGAGGAACAGAAAATCCTGGGCCCAGGATACTACATGGATAGCAAAAAGAGAAGTCTACCACTGGGAGATGGGCATGAAATTTACACAACAGTAGAATGCACATTGCTTTCAAGTGCATCTAGAACGTTCACCAAGATAGAGAATATTCTAGGCCATAAAACCTCAACAAATAAAACACTTGAAATCTTGTGAATTATGTTCTCTGACCATAACAGAATTAAACTAGTAAAAACCAGTAACAGAAAGATATCTGGAAAATACCCAAATAACCTCTGATGAGAGAAAGAAGTAAAGGGAGACAAATACCATGATCATAGAATGAAAGACTCAAGATGTTAATATGCCGGTTCTCCCCAGATTGGCCTACAGAATCAATGTAATCCCATTCAAAATCCTAGGTGGCTTTTTCATTAGACATTTATAAGATGATTCTAATATGTGTGGAAATCCAAAGAATCTAGAACAGCCAAAACAATTTTGAAAAAGAATAAAGTTGGAGGACTCAAATTACCTGATTGCAACATTTAGAGCTACAGTAGTCAAGACCACATGACAATTGTTTTAGGATAGACATACAGATGAATGGAACAGAATAGTAAATCAAGAAAGAGACCTAAAGATCTACCTTGAACAAAAATGCCAAGGTAATTCAGTGGAGAAATGTTAGTCTTCTTTTTTTTTAACATTTAAAAATATTTTTATTGAACTATAGTTGATTTACTATGTTGTGTTAGTTCGAGGTGTACAGCAAAGTGATTCAGTTATATATATATGTATATATATACACATACATGCATATATACTTTTTCAGATTTTTTACCCTTATAGGTTATTACAAAATATTGAGTATAGTTCCCTGTGCTATACAGTAGGTCCTTGTTTATTTTATAGGAAAATGATAGTCTTTTCAACAAATGCACTGGAACAATTAGACATCCACATGCAAAAAAAAAATTTTTTTTTGAACCTTATTTCACACCATGTACAAAAATTAAATCATACACCTCAATGTAAAACGTAAACTGATGAAAGTTGTGGAGGTAAACAAAGATCTTAGGTTTAGACTTTAGGTTTCTTCAAT